ACAAGCCATCACACCTGGCAAAGATTTGTTTTCTTAAACAGTACAAACATAAAACATACCTAAATTACTAATCACGTATCCTAACAGTGCGGTTCAGTTACAACTAAACAGAACTCACTGAAGTACTCACTTTATGAAGTACAAGGAAAGTATGTAAACTACAGAATTATCCTAATATTTCTAAGCTATCTGACCAAACCACAGGCAAAGTCTAAATCCACCTAGCTTGACAAAATTGTTATCTTCTCTATATGCTGAATTAAAGCTTAGCTCTATGTTTAAGATGTAAATGTAGAGTCAGCATTGAAATTTCCAACTAAATACGTCAACTTTGTACAATAAGCAAAATCTGTGATTTTTTTAAATGAAAAATGGGTAGATCATTTCTGTACTACTGCTAAAATTGTTTCAAAAAGCCAAAGCTATCTATTATAAGGCCCTTAACAATTATTTAATGGAGCAGACAATTTAGAAAGTAACTTTGAAATTAGGATCCAAAAAAACATCATTTAAGCATCAAAGCATCACACAGAACAGGCAAGAAACCCTCAACATAGAGGTAAGTCAACTTCCCACACTTGCCATGTCCTAGAAATCTCTAGCATACTCTACCTTAAAGGCTGCATATGGTTTCACAGGACACTTCTGCAGACTGACAAGAATGACTTACATGCAGGATGCTGTTCCACTCCAGCGACCCTTCTTTAATACTCCTAAGCATAAATGCTTTTCAATCTGGAGTCATGGCTCTCAGAATAGCAAAAGAAATGTGAAACATCTCATAGTAGGTCATGAGATCTTTCGTGAAATAAATGTTTTGCTTTAGCACAATGCTCTATCCCTTTAATAACATTTTTGTTAGTCATTCTTGAATAACACTCTAAAGAATATTATGTAGATTACCGCAACTCTTTTGAAAAGATATTCCCAAATATGATTTAAGCTAATTGATGAACACTCATTACTAGGTTTTCCCATTTGGCCCTCCACTAAATGGTCCCAGATATGCTAGTTAAGATTTGAATATTTATTTTTGTGACTTGTGGTTATCTCCTCTATCCTCATCAACTTGTTTTGTTTTTCTTACAGTACTTAGTAGCTAACAATTTCCCATCCTATCTACCCCCCACCACACCGCTGCTAAACCTCTCACACTACTCATAATCTACTTGTTTCTAATCTTCCGTGGGATTAGAAACCAGATAATGTTGCTTGTTAGGAACATTTAAGTAAATGAAAACAGGTTCTGACTAAGGATCTGAAAAGCTCCCCTATGCTTCAAAGTGGTGACAAACCTATGTGAAGCATTTTTTTTAAAGACAAATGATGCCTATGTGTGAGTTTTTTCTAAATTAAAACACCAGTCAGTACTCAGGTTTAGTTCCAGTGTTGGCACTTTGGGCCTTTGTTGCTTGCTCTCTTCTCAATCACATTTTATAACAGGTTAAGTAGTGAGGGGCTGTAGGCAAATCATTTGGATTAGCAATAATCCAAACAGCTAAAACCCACAACCAAAAAAGGGGCAAGAATGGAGATTTTTGGGGGAAGAATTCTTACATTTCAAGCACTGCTCTAGGTGCTTTAACCAAACTCATTTCATCTTTACAACATTAAGAGGTAGGAGTTACCACCTCCAATTCCAGTTAGAAAACCAGACTAAGGAAGTTACCCAGTATCCTCAGAGAAACCATGTATCAAGCCATCCTACTACATGAGATGGCTGCCCAATCTGTATTCTTGGTTTAACGAATTTTTTTCACATTATTCTGGACCCTTTGCCTAGAACATGGCTGATTCAAGTTAGCCTTCTTTCCTTAAGCACTTTGTGTAACTAAAGGGAAATGCTTAATCAAATTGAGGCCAAATTAAATTAGCTTTCAAGTGTACATCTGTTAAGCAACAAACATGTTTCTGCAAGACTGGCCATATCTTCAGCTGTATAGACTGCAAAATGGTTTGAGCACCCCTCCACACACAGTGTTCTCCTTGGCATTCTGAGTTAACACTTCAACATCTTTCCTGGCAATGTCCTCAATATTTGATACAGAAAAAAATGCAAGTATATTTTAAAAACTGTCTCCATAATGTATTTTTACACTAACTCCATCGATTTGTACACTAACGTAATAAATTTTCTTTTCTGAACATTGAGGCCTGAGACAGAAAACATGAAGTTTCCACTTTCCTGATCCCTTTAAGGAACAGGAGTGCTTGTTTATTAAAATCTTTATTGCCTAATCCAAGGCTTGACACAAGAGAATTTTTTTTGTGGAATAAATGCTACCTGTCCAATAAGTACCAATTATTTGTTGAGTGCATAACCTCACCTGAACTGGTCTGAATTTTTTACATTTCACATTTTTTGACATACCTTTGCAGTACTTGGTGGAAAACATCTTTCCTCTTATGGAAACTAATGGCCTAAAATTGGCTCTTTTTCTTCCCTCAAAAGACCAAAAAAAAAAAAAAGTCTAAAAAGACACGCCCCCTCCACCCTCTAAAAATGCTTTTTGTCCTAAGAATATGAATAAACCTCCATCTGCCTGACTGCACTAGATACAGCTTTTATATCCATTACAAATACCTGTACTAAAAAGCTGCTAGAAAACAAGGCCTCTAGAGACCTAAAGCACAAACTCAAAAAATAAGACAAACTTTTTGACCAAAAAGTCAAACCGACAATAACAGTTTTTGCATGTATAAAAATTCCAAGTCTTTGACCAGCAGTTTAAACTGCTTAATTGAATGGGTTTTCTTCCACTTACATAATTCTCCCAGTGTAAACTAATATGGAAACATTATTCTAACATTCACAGTAAGAAAATGAAAGATTTCTTGCTCCCTTTAAGAAACCTTTGTTCTTACTAAGGAGAACTGCTGAAATACATAAAACAATCCCTAATATTCCTATATAAAGAGTTAAATACATAATCTTGCCTGACAAGCCACAACAACAGGAAATTACCCTGTGGAGTTTCTTACATGACTATTATTTCATGAACCTTACAGACTGTGTAGAAATTTAGCTTGAGGTAGGCTACAATATTAAAAAAAACACCAAACTGTTGAACACCTACAATGTAAAGAAATCACTTTAGGTGTAGCTGCACTATATAATACCCAAACTACGAGCAATTTATATTCCAATTACATTAATTAAACCAGGCCAATAAGCTTCCTTAAATTCAAGATGTTAACATCAAGATAGTTTAAATGAGCACTCAGAAATGCCCATAAACGAGAACTATTTATATTTACTACACCATAGTTTAATTTACCAGCTAGGTAAATTACACCATAGCTAAATTTACAGGGAAAACTTAACTTCAAAAATGTCTTACTTTCTCAATTTAATACAAACATCTGTACCTTACCTTTCTGGGAAGTATCCGGAATGGCTATTTTTTAAAACAAATGAAAAGTCCCTCAACGACACATTTGTGAAATTCCTTTTAAATTTCTCCCATCTCTACATTACATATGCTTTACTAACTCCTGCACAAAAATCGTTCCAGTTTCATTTAACTGATTTCTTAACACCTCTGCAGGAGGGAAACTTAAAGAGGGATCAAAAGTAAAGTAACGTGTATTTTGAGCATAATAGGAAGTTTACATGTTAGTTTCACGTATTCTTCCTATCAGTGAAACAGGTTTAGTTCATATTAAAATCATAAGAGAAAATAATTCTGGAAATTCGCGTTTCTGGTAATCAATTTTGCAAAGTAAGTTTCCCTTAATATTTTACAAATAATTTTTTTACATGTGTAGTTTTTAAAAGTTTTTTAAAAATCACAACGCTGTAACAAACTGTAACAAGACTGCTCTAAAACATTACTTCCAAATTCTTTTCACCTGAATTTTTAAACTACAAAGGTCTGACAAACAGGTTGTATTTAGCTACTAGGTAAAAAGGAAGAAATAAAATCAACCTGGTTGTTTTTCTTTTGTTTAGGGTAACAAGGAAAACACAAAAGCACGTAAGGGCAAGTGAAAGACAAAAGTACGTTAAGTCAAGGACAGTATTCCTCACCAGAAAACAATAATTCAACCAGAAATTTTGAAAGCAAGTCCGAAAACGTGAAATCAATTAGCGTCTTTTCTGAAGCCGTGTGATAGATGAAAACTAATAGACTGCACCCACAAAGCAACTTTGTAAGACTGTTGAAGATGATCAGTGCGGAGAATTAGCCGCAAACATTTCTGAGTACACACAGCAATTCGGAGTTCGCTACTATTATGGTTAACAAAGGTTACAGAATCAAAAAAAAAAAAAGTGGAAGCAAAGTATCATAAGCTCCTAACTTGGCTTCCTAACAACCCCTGCAACAGATCTGGTCCTTCGGCTTTAAAATCAGAAACACAAACTAACCGATGTGCAAGCCGTGCAAGGAAAGGGACACGGGCGGGCTGCCACCAAGCCTGGGCGGGGACTCCTAGCTTGCAGCCCTTTCCTCCCGGGCCGACCCCGGCCCGCGCGCCCACAGTGCCGGCCTCGCCACACCCCAGCCCCCACCCGCCGTGGCCATGTGACACGCCGGCCGTGGCTGCACACAAACACACCCCTGCCCGAGGCCCGCAGCGCCTAGGCTTTACCTGCACCCAGGCGCCAGGTCCCGCCCCGTCAGATCCGGGGGGCCCGGGACCTTTTGTTCCTTCCTCTTCCGATGGGATTGGAGGAGGCTGCGAAGGGAAAAGGGTACTGGGCGATTGGAGGCGGAACTGAAAAACACTCCCGGCCGCCGTGCCCCCACCCCGCCCCCAAGGGCCGAGCCCCGCCGGCAGCCCCGGAGCGCGCGCAGCTGAGAGGGGCGAGAGAGAAGCGAAGAGGCGGAGGGTGTCCGGCCGCCGCCCGCGGAGGAGGGGGTGGGGACACCGCCCCTCCTCCCCTAGGCGCGCGCGCCCGCCGCCCTTCTCTGCCCCGCGCGGCCCCGGCCGCGCCCTCACCCGGCGGCCCACCTCCGCTTCCGCCCAGTCTCCGCCGCTGGCCACAGCAAACCCACCTCCGAGCGGCTCGCTCGGCGCTCGCGGGCTGCAGGCTAGCGAGCTGCTCCTCTGCCGCCGCGGCCGCGCGGTAGACCCGCCTCCCACCCCGGGCCGCGAGCCCCGCCGATTCGCCGGCGCAGCCCCGGGGCTGGCACCCTGCCGCCCGCTGATTGGCGCCCCCAGACGCCCGTTAGGGCGCGAAGCACGCCGGCCGAGCGCAGCGCGGGGCGCGCACGGAAGACGAAGGGAGCGGAGGAGGGAAGGAAGGAGGGCGAGCGCCGCGGGAAGGGCCCAGGGCTGAGCAGGGCACGCGGACTCGTGGGCCACCGCCTCCCCACCTCCCCTTGCCTTCGGCCCGCCCCGCCTCCCGGCCGGACCGACGGCACGCGCAGCCAATCAGAATGCGAGGAGCTCGGGGTGTGAGGCGCGCGTCGGGGGCCTCGAATCGGAAGGGAGACGTCGCTCGCTGATTGGTCCCGCCTCCCCCGTCCAGCGTGAGGCGAGGCGAGGCGAAGCGAGGCGCGGCCGGGTGGGGTGTGACGCCCGTGGTTTCGCCTGAGTTGGTCCTGGCGCGCTCCCACGGGGTTCGGGGAAAGGCAGGGAAGGCCAGCAGCCTGCCGCGCTTGGAAAGAGGACGCGGACGACCACCCCAGGGGCCTCCTGGCCCCTTGTTAGCGCCACTGGGTGGAGCCCATTGGGGTCGCCACCTCGTCCATTCCTTTGGGAAGCCAGGAGTGGACACATGCTCAGTTCCCTAGAGGCTCGGTATTGCCGGGAGCACAGGACGCGCCTGGAGCTGAAAGGGCTCCAAAGCTCTGAGGGCCTGTCCTCCCTGGGTGGGCGTGTCCGTATGCAAATGAGAGGGCGGGTCAGGGATGTAAATAAGCCTGGATTGCGATGCAGTGATGGTTAGGGGAGGGAAATGTCAAGTATTTTTAAGTTAACCTGCATGTTGGGCCCTACTCTGAAAGGTGACTGTGAAGGCTAGGAGTACCTAGCAGTATGGACCTTAATTACTGGTTTTGTCACTTTCAGACTATGTTCCTAGGCCCCAACTTGGCACAGTTTGCCCTATTGGAAGCTGGGAGGACCAAAAAGGATGGGTGTAGTTTTGTTGCTTTTGATTTAAGGATCCCCAAGGCCCTGCAATTAAAGGTTGAACCAAATGACATCAAGTAGTAAGCGCCTACCATGTTGGGCAGGGCATATCATAGAACTAAAGTTGAAGAGTTTCATACAGGTAGTTGGTGGCAGAGACAAGACTAGAACAAATTTCTCGGCAATTTGTCCAGCACTCATTCCTTTGTACTTCTTCATGGATTTACTTGGAGATTCGAGTTATGCTGCAAAGCATTGCCAGCAATACAAATCAGTAATTAGGAAGTACCAAAGGAGTATTTCAAGCAGTAAGTTTTTAAGTATACTGTGCAGAAGTGAAGACAGCCCAGTGAAGAGGGCCTTCCTATGGACCTTGGCCGATGCAGTGTTTGCCCTCTCCTGAGTCTTACAGGTTTTCTGAATGACCTTTTAAAAATGTTATTTTCGCCATCTCTCTTCAAACATGGAACTAGTCTCTTGGGAAGGTTGTGATGAAGAGTGTGAATGCTTGACCTAGATGAACTGTAGTTTTGCATAAAGCTCTGATCGAAACTGATCTTTTGGCAAAGTGGAGTTCACTTGCAATGGTGCCTACTTAAATATAGTTTGTGGCGATGAACTAGATAAATATGAAAGGGAATAGAGCAGGGCTTTAAAATTAAAGCGAACAGTATTAACTTTCTGTTACAAATATTTACGCTAAGATAAACCTACTCAGCAGAAATGCATCCTTCAAAAGTTTGCTTCCAGAGTAGTTTCTTTTACTGTCAGTTTAGAAACAGATTTTCTATTCCCCCACTCACACCTTTGTTTGTTTGTTTTTTGAGACATCACGATTAAGTTGAGACATCACCATTAAGTCGGGTCCAGGGTGGACCCGACTTAGGTCACAGTCTCCAAGAATGCTGGTATTACAGGCATGTGCCTCCACAACTGACTCAAATAAATCCTTTTGTACAAGTAATTTGTGAAGCAGGCTCAGGAAGCTAGCTGATGGAACTTCTGTTTCCATTTTCCAGAGCCACCAGGGAAAGATGGTCTAGATTGGAGCAAAGGCTATTCAACTTAGAAGTAAGAGGCTAGTCCTGGCATTGGTCCTCCTTCCTGCTGACACAAGTCAAATCTTCAATATAAAATGGCCTATTAAAAGCTACCTTGAGTCACACAAATATTTTCTCCTACGTGAACAACGTGTGGATTTGAATGACTACCTGGGTAGTGAGAGTGGGAACAAAAGCAAGCCTGGATGAGATTCCAGAAGAATCTGCCTCTGGTGTGGAAATAAGTTACTTTGGAACTGTAACTCTTTGTTTAAGGAACCTTCTAAGATCTAGAGGATTCAAAAAAAGAAAGAGGAGCTACTTGGCTACTAATGCAGTCTCCATGAGGAGTGGAAATAAGAGCGTGCTTACTGTCCCTTCAGTTTGAAACGCATCTAAACCAAAGTGGGTCAAGATAGAAACTGAAGGCACATAGAGCAGGGATTGTCATGGCAACGATCAGCTTGGAAATCTACTAGAGTATCTGAAGATCTATCAGTGACTCCCTATTGTATAAACTATATCGAGTCTTATACACAGCATGTTTACCCCTTTGTTACTCATGCCACTGCAAAATCAAAAATAAATTCTGAATCTATTTATAGAAATTTAAATGTAGTGAAAAGATACATAAGAAAAATGATAAGTTGGTACTGGAAAGAGCCTGAGGGTCATGAGTAGATAAGTTAAATTTCATCATTAGTACTTCTGCAGTTTGAATTTTAGAAAAATATACTCATGTCCTGATTTTTTTTGAAGATACACAATTTATGTTTCATCTCCTGTCTGCTATATATGTAAAGCCCTTCCTGGCTACACTAGCCCAAGCTATATCACTCACCTATAAACTTTTTCTCTTATACTCAGAATGATATACATACAAAGACTTTGCTTTTGCTTGGGTTTTTTTCAATCCATTAGTTTAGTCTTGAGCAGTTTAATTTCTCATGTGAGTATAAATTTGTGTCCACATCTAAATTATAGATTCCTGCAGGCCAAGAGCAGCTTATTCCCATTTGCTTTCCCACACTTTATCAAAATACTAAGTAACTGAAGAAAAGTGAAGTACAACACTTGTATAACAGAAAAATTATGTATGTGTGTCACAGGTCTGTAGTCATTCTACAAGTTTTGCCCTGTTCAGTTTTTAATTGCCTTCAGTGTAACTGTTGAGTTGCTTGTCAACATCCACAGTATATCTGGTCATCCTAGAGGGATTAAGTTGCAGTTAATGTTGGTGCATCCTAAGGAATAAGACATATGAAACAGAAAACATTAAACAGTTGCTCACTAGGTACAGTATCTGCTACGTGCCTACCCTAACAATATTAGCTGATCACAGTGGAAAGAGTCTCATTCTTTGTCCCTTGTCATTCAAAGAAATTGAGGCATACAGATAGGGGTTTTAGAACTAAAAAATGTGAAAGGGAGGTGGGCTCTGTTTAAGAGAAAATTATCTAGCTGAGAAAACTATATATCTCATTCTTCTGGCATAGATTATATTTCTGGCCTATATTATTTAAAGGCATAAATGATAATTAGATTAGCTGATGATTGGCTGACTAATCTATTGACTGCATATATTACTTGGAAAATTACAGTACAAGTCCGGTGCAGTGAGCATTCCCCAAAAGGGGTTTAAATATTGTTTTGGTTACTATTCTGTTGCTGAAACAAAATACACAACACCCAAAATTAAAGAAGGCAATTATTTAGCTCACTCTGTGTGGAGGTTTCAGTCCATAATCAGCTGGCTCCACAACAGGGTGGCGTGGCTTAGGAGCAGGAGTTCAAGGGAGCAGAAGACAGCAAAAGCAACAAAAGCTATAGGTAGGGGGGTGGAGCAGGCCTCTTTTCTTCTCTTATATTCAGGCTATCTGTCCACACCATCTCCCTGCTGTCCTCTTGCACAAGATGAGGGTATTTACAGATGGAGAACCCTGGCTCCCTGCTGAGCACTTTAAACTTTTAAACTCAAGTTGACACAATGGATCAACCATTAAAAATACTATCTAAGATCTACATATTTTGGAAAAAATGAATAAAAGGGCTAATTTCTAAACTCTGAAAGAACAATATACAAATTGTTTAAAGGTCTGTTGTGAAGGAGGATAATGTGGTAGTCATAGGTCAACAATAGGGCCTTATGCCTTGATTATAATTGCCTGTATGTGACAATATGGCCTGAACTAGGCTGCAGCTAGGCAGGATGAGTGTATGAAGGTATAATACTCTTGGAAAATTTCAAACATATTAGCATAATTGCAGTGATGAAGACTGAAGAGCTTATTTAACATAGCTGACTACAGTAGACAATAGATGCATAATCAGTGTCCTAATGATTGAATTAATGAGCCCCCATTGTTTTCCTTACTATAAACAGCCCTTAGCAATGAAGAAGACATTTTGCTGGAGAAGTCTGACAATTGTGTTGACTGATGGAATGGCCAGAATTTAATTAATTGTGGGAAAGAAGCAATTATTATTGAGTTCTAAAGTTGTCAGTGGTGGACTTCAAAGGATAGATTATATTGATACATAGATGTTTCATATCTGCTTTTTGCATTATTTTATTATGGAGCCTTATTTTTGCATTTAAAGAGACAGGTCCAGGCTTCCTTGAAGTCCTGTGACCACTTTTAGTGGTAAGGATTATGCATATAACATTTTCCTTTTCTGCCCTTGCACTGTCTACTAACTCTTCTCTCTGTACCTGATGTGCACTCACACCATGCTGCAAAACACTACTCTGAAACTTGGCCATTTTTCAGTTTCTCAGTTGCCATCACTTTCTATGCACAATGAAATTAGAGGCAAATGTCCTACCCATACTTGAACCTCCAGTGATAAACAGATTTATCTGTCTCCAGATACAGCTAGCCACTTGTTACTTCTTCTGAAGAAGTCTTTCCTCTCCTCTTTGATGGACCACCCAGGCTAGATTAGCATCCTCCAACACACATATATACATACACATGCACACACCAATAACACATGACATTTTAAAATTGTGC